TAGGTTTAAATGAAGCAGAAATAATTAATATTTTGTACAGCACAGAATTAAATGGTGGCACTCGCTGTGGGAAGCCAGAAAATCCAGAGACGCTGAACAGATTTGGGCACAGTTCCATCGCTCGTGGGTATGAGGTGCAACTTTCTGCGCACAAAATGCAACCCGGGGGTCCGTAAGCAGCGCAGCACTGAAAGCTACGCAGCTGTGCCCGGAAAAACGAGCGCATGCGGCCTGGCCCTGCCTCCAGTGCCGAAACACCGTTAGAATTTGCTGGCCAGAGAGGGGGTGAAGCCGCCCAGGTGTCGCTGAGCGATGCTCGCTGGGATCTCTCGGCTTCACGCGGCGTTCTCGTCTCAGGACAGATGAGCAGCGCAGGGCCACGCCGAGCACCAACAGGCACAGCCCATGCCTGCGCTGTGCGGGGTGACAGAGCTGGGTACCGCCCAGGCAAATCCAGAGCACCGCGACTTCGCCAGCTCGTCACAAACCCAGCTGGAACCAGGAGCGCCAGCCTGGACTGGGCAGAGGCCAGAGAGCAGTTCCCAGCCGGGCCCGGGGCCCTTCCGTCCTCCCGTTACACTGCCCGTTCATTACCAAGGAATCAGACACCGCGTGGTAACTGAGGAGAGAGCCAAGACAGCGGCTCAGCTCCGCTCTCACTTTCTGCCGCCGATCCACGCGGTATCACTAGGCAGGTTTCTCATAGTCCAGCAGGATGAGGACAGCGAGCCTTCTCACCTGGCACCCATCAGTGCTGACTCGGGTCTGTCACCCAAACAGCCCCCGCGACGCAGAGGGCAGAGGGGCAGCCAGCGCTGCTTCCGTTACGCATGGGAGGGAACAGCAAAGCCTCCATCGCACACCCGGTTCGGGTATACGTTGTGCTGGTTCTTAAAAATAGAAATGAAAACCAGGCCTGTGAAAATGGCATCTCTCGGCACACCGCTCGAGCTAGCCAGCGGTCAAGCTAAAACCACTCCTGTATCCACTTTCCAAGAGCGCTACCGGGGGAAAAGACTCTTCCCACCCACCCCAGAAGAGTCTCCCAGCAGCCAAGATACGTGCAGAGTCAACCCGGTCTGCCAGCCCTACACCCCACCAGGTCTCGAACGCCAGGAGAGCAGCGAGGGAGCGCCGGTTTCTGCAGGAACAGACGGAGAGAGAACCCCAGCCCACACTCCAGCACGGCTCATTCTCAGCAGTGCCTCAAGCGTGGCTCAGCATAAAGCATTTCCAAAAAGAAGTCAAGCTTCTCGGGGTTTTTTTAATTCATTAACTCCACCCTAAGACACTGCTCCTTTTTGGATGCAAGGAGAGCAGGACTCCACAGGGCCACAGAGAAGCAGGAAGCATGGACACCCTTTCCCTCCCCCCGGTGCTCCTCGTCGCGTCCAGACAGATCTGCCAAAAACTGTACGGAGCCAAAAAGCCGTGCCACACGGGAGGCTGCCCCAGCGGTCATCAGCTGGAGACACCACCGAAGCACCCGCCGCAACCCCAGGCATCTCCTGCCCAGATGTGCCACCTCGGCCAAGGCCCCCTGCTCCCCAGCGCCCGCGAGCAATGCTGAGGTCGGGCTGCGGCCGCTTGCCCCCGCGATCGCTGCGAGGATGCTCCTCCTCGTGTCCTGCCCCACGCAGACACGCAGCGTCAGACAGAGCTGCTTCTCCGTCCTCCCCCCCGCTGCAGTGCTCTCCCAAGCCAAGGATGCTCCCCAGTTCAAGAAAGATAAAGAGCTACTGGAGAGAGTCCAGCGGAGGGCTAAAAGGATGGTGAGAGGACCGGAGCATCTCTGCTATGAGGAGAGGCTGAGGGAGCTGGGCTTGTTCAGCCTGGAGAAGAGAAGGCTGAGAGAGGGCCTAATATCGGCCTGCCCGTGTTGCTGTCCAGCCTGCTCTGGGTGACCCTGCTTCGGCAGGGGGTTGGACTGGGTGACCCACAAAGGACCCTTCCAACCCCGACCATTCTGTGATTCTGTGATTCCCTGCCAGCAGCAACCCGCACGGCTGCTCGCCGCCCTTCGCATCGACCTGTGCTCAGCAGAGCAGCCCTGGGATCGCGCAGGCCCAGAGGCACCAGCTCGGAGGTCTCCCCACTCGAGCAGACCCGAAGGACCGAGGGACTCCTCCAGCAAGCCCAGAGCCTCATCCCTCCACTGGTACGCAGCCAGCCCAGGGCCCTCCGCCCAACGCCCGGCACTCTCAGGGACACAGCACTGGCAGTTTTATTACAGTTCAACCGAAACAGTCAAACCCAACGCACATCCGTTCTTCTCATTAACTAAAACACCTCTAATTGGGACAAAACACCATCAGCCAGGTGTTTACACTAACGTGTAAAGTAACTCATCGATGTCCTCAGCGCTAACTCCACAGCACAAGGATTCAGCGCCAGCTTACAGAGTATCGTACCCCTCGGGCCAGGTCAGAAAAGCCTGAAAACACAAGAGTTTCATTTGGTTTTTATTTGCTCTCGGCTCCCTGGCCTGGATCACAGCATCGCCTCGCAAACAGCTGAGTCAGCACAACCGTGAGGCAGCGGAGGAACGAGCGTCCGCACCCCCACCCGCACTGCTGCCGCGCTGTCCTTACCCTGCACGCGCGGCCCGAGCTCGCTGGAGCTGCGAAGTCAGCGTGTCCAGAGCCTTAAGACAGGAAGCCTCGGCCTTTGCTATTTTTACGTAAAGACACAAACCAAGATAACTGCGCGTGACGCCGGCGGTAGCATCGCCGACAGCTCCCGCAGCCCCGCGCCGGGCGGCAGATCAGCCACCGGCTGCCCGCATCGCCCGCAGCCCGGCGCTCCTGACGCGAGGGTGAAGGCACACACCGACCCCCGCCACACGCAAGACCCCGCTCCAAACACCGACCCAGCTGATGGACTCGCCTCCCGCCACGGGATACGTGACGCTCCGAGGACCACCAGCCACCACACCCGGCTCACCATGCCATGCTCCGCCAGGCAAAACAAGCGCGCCGAGAAACCTCCATCGTCTCCTCCACCGGCCGTGTTCTCCGTCAGTGTCCGCACATGCTCCGGAGCGGCAGCACTGAGGGACAGGGCGCTCACAGCACTTCATGGGATTCAAACCACAGATGCTAGTGCCCCGAACAAGGCACGTCGTGAGAAACAGGTAAGTGGCTCCGACACTGACCACCTTCTGTCGGACCTTGGGGGATGGCTAATTGTGAAAAAGTCAGACCACGTTAGTCCAGGACCGGGGGCTGACTCTCCCACAAGCCAAACCGCCGGTGCCCGGGCACTCTGCTGCTCTCTGCAAAGCATCACCCGAAGCGCAGACCCCGCACGCCGCTGGCAGCCAGCAGCCCAAGCGACCGTCCCGCTGGTACAGATGCAAACACGAGCACCCTGCCTTCCAAACATGTGGCTATGCTAATTTTAGGTTGACTGTGTGTTTCCACAAGCCAGAATCACAGAATGTTCGGGGTTGGCAGGGACCTCTGTGGGTCACCCAGTCCAACCCCCTGCCCAAGCAGGGTCACCCAGAGCAGGCTGCACAGCACCGCGGCCAGGCGGGGCTGGAATATCTCCAGAGAA